GGACGGACACGTTCATTGCGCGCTTGTTGGCAGCAAAACTAGAGTAGCACCTCTCAAGTTCGTCTCCATTCCTCGCCTGGAACTGCAAGCGGCAGTCATCGGTATGCGCTTGGCCAAGAGTATCGAGGCAGGCCACTCTGTCAAGGTCGACCGTCGTTATTTTTGGACCGATGCTCGGGACGTCATGTGCTGGCTTCAATCGGACCACCGCAGGTATTCCCAGTTTGTGGCTTTCCGCGTGGGTGAAATATTGGAAGAGACGAATGTTACAGAATGGAAGTGGATAGGCACAAAGGAGAACGTGGCCGACGACGGAACAAAGTGGAGGTACAAACCGGATCTCAAGCCAGCATGCCGTTGGTTCAACGGTCCATCGTTCCTGTGGAGACCCAAAATAGAATGGCCGGAGTCGTCGCTGAATGGCCAGGAAACCGTTGAAGAAATCCGTTCAAGCGTGTTGCACCATTCGGTTGGGAGAGTTCGTACCATTTTGTTGCCCGAGAATTTCTCGTCGTGGTACCGAATACGGCGTGTAACAGCTTTCGTCCAACGGTTCGTAAACAACATCTGGCTGAAGAAGGGAGGTCAACAACGGAGTGTCGGGCCACTTACGCAGCAGGAACTTCTCGAAGCGGAGGCGTTCCAAATCAAACGAGCGCAGGAGGAGGTCTATGCAGACGAACTAGCGGTACTAGCAGCGGGCGACCGACGACTCCAGAAAAAGAACAGCCTGTTCAAGGTCAGTCCGTTCATTGACAAGCAGGGCGTGATGCGCATCCACAGTCGATTGGGCGAATGCGACTTTATAGATGAGAGCAGCAGGTACCCCATCGTACTCCCACGAGAACATCCAGTTACGACGCTTGTTATACGCGACGTTCACCTACGGTATCATCATCAATGCCACGAGACCTGTGTGAACGAAGTACGCAAAGGATTCCACATCCCACGAGTTCGCAGGGTCTACGACCGAGTGCGTCGAGAATGTCAGCTATGCAAGTTGCAACGTGCTGCACCAGCGCCACCGATGATGGCCCCGCTACCGAAGGCAAGGATGGCAGCCTTCGTTCGCCCGTTCTCGTACGTGGGCGTGGACTTTTTCGGGCCTTTCTTCGTCGTTGTAGGGCGCCATCACGAGAAGCGCTGGGGTGTCATCGTAACTTGTCTGACGATTCGAGCGATACACCTCGAGTTGGCTGCCACGTTGAACACCAGCTCGTGTATCTTAGCTCTACGGAACTGCTTCGCTCGACGGGGAACTCCAGTAGAAATTAGGAGCGATCGTGGGACGAACTTCGTGGGTGCGGACAAGGAACTTAAAGAGGCGCTAGCGGCATTAGATCAGAACAGGTTCATGGCGGAATTCACCACACCGAGAACAACGTGGTGTTTCAATCCCCCTGCGGCGCCACACATGGGTGGCTGTTGGGAGCGGCTCATCCGATCCGTGAAGAAGGTCCTATCCCAGGTCAAGCCACAGCGAGTACCTACGGAGGAAATATTGAGAAGCTATCTAATCGAGGTAGAGAACATCATCAATAGCCGACCGTTGACCCAGGTACCGGTGGATGATTATTCATCACCGGCGCTTACACCAAACCACTTCTTACTAGGTTCGTCGGACGGATCGAAGCCACTGGTCCCGTATGACGAATGTCCGTTGATGCTGCAACGATCGTGGAAGGCGTCACAGGCGTTGGCAAACCTTTTTTGGAAACGCTGGGTGGACGAGTACTTGCCAACAATTACGCGTCGTGCAAAGTGGCACTACCCGGTGAGGCCGATTGCAGTTGGAGAGATTGTCGTCGTGGCCGATCCCAGCTTGCCGAGAAATTGCTGGCCCAAGGGCCGAGTGGTTTCGGTGAAGACATCAGCTGATGGACAGGTTCGGTCAGCGGCAGTTCAGACCACCACTGGACTGTACGAGAGGCCTGCAACCAAGCTAGCTGTATTGGACGTAGGTGTAAACGGGAGTGGGTCGGACCAGGGTCCAACCACTGGGGGGGACTGTTGCGTGCGCCCCTCGTGCGACGCCACACCTACTAATCTATCTCATGGATGCAGCGGCGCCGCATTGAAGCTGACAGCGGCATAATGGTATACGGAGCTGTCAATTCGGCCGTGAGAAAAGGAAGTGCAAATCACTCCTAAAATTCAACTTTGGTGCATAAATTTGAATTGCAATTAAACCTACTTTAAATTAGTTTTGAATTTGTATTTAAAATCATCATTACACTATAAGGTGAGGAATTTAAAATTATACTGTGAATTTGTTGGCTAAACATTGAACGTTGAATATAAACACATCTAGGTCCACTTACAAATCATTGTACAGCACCACACTACATAGAAGTTTACGTTTAACGAGAAGAATACGGTAAAAAACATGTAAATTTGGATTCACGATACTATTTGACACAAACATTTACATGTAGGTTTAATAACGTGGTCATTCGAGCCCATCTCTGTAGGCAGATCCGGGTGACGACCCTAAGAAACGCAGAAACGTAAGTTAACCTCTATTCTATTGTGTGAAGATAAAAACTAACCGTGTTGATATTATCTCTAGGAGAATTTTAACCGTTCGGTTTCCGCTCGGTTGCCCAATAAACGAGTTAAATTTCCGGAAGTGTTTTCTTTCGTTGCGTACGCAACAGGGCCTACAAAGGTTTGTTTACAAAAAGCTTGTATGCCCTTTTCACTTATGGCTCTTGAAGTGTCATACGATTATCGTTAAGTTTTAAGCAATGCCTAAATGTCGTACAAGTTACCTTCTTCTTCTTCTTCTTCTCCTTTTGGTGGCGGGACCATAGTTGGTCCATACTGCCAAGTGTGGTCAAACAAGTTACCTTAAATCTGTAGAAAGTTCTGTGAAATTCGTAGTTATTCCCCAAAGATTAAAGGACTTCCCTGAAGTTCGTAAGACTTCTCTGAAATTTGTAGAACTTCTCTGAAACTTGTAAAACTTTACCGAGTTTTATAGAACTTGCATGAAGTTCGAAGGCCTTATCTGAAGTTTTTAGAAATAGAACTTTTCTATTGAACTTGTTCAACAGGTGCTTCAAAGTAGTTACGCGTCGGCACTGCTTAAGTCTGCTATCAATTAAACACAAATCATATATGCAATTGATTCGAGAAAAAAATTAAATTAAAAATAAATGCAAAATATATTTACTAAATTTTCAGGGTAAATTTTGTTCATCAATGTTTAGTTGTGTGAAAGATTTAGCTTGAACAAAATGGTTAGTTTTGACCTGATTATAAATAAAAACTTTGACATAGGGGAAATGTTGGCTTCGGCAATACCTTAACCTATTATCACAGGCAAACAGACATAACACTAGCAAGTTGTTCATCGAACAAGCATTTAACGATCAATTTAAATGTATCGTAGTTGGTAGTACCGCCACCTGTGGCGCGCATAGTCAGTTCCCTTGCGTTTGACGTTTATACACTATCGCCATCTGTTCAGCGTACTACCCACCACAGTGTACTCAACAGATGGCGGTAATGTTTTAGCGACGATGTTTTACAGTGAGAAATATTCAATGTGTTATGTCTGTTTGTCTGTGCTATTATCGTCAAGGGGGTAAACAAAGTCCTAGAGCACCTCAATTTGGCCAATGGATGCTCTCAAACACAATGTATCCACATACCAAAATTGAGCCCTCAAGGACGTTGTTTACCCCCTGACGATAATAGGTTAAGGTATTGCTGAAGCAAACATTTCCCCTACATAAAACCTATTTAAATTATACAAACAAGATTATTTTCCTGGTGGACTTCCTGGTTGGTTGGAAATTCCTGGTTTTTCCCCGGTTTTCCCTGGTGAAAATAAATTCCCGACTTTTCCCGGTTTTCCTGGTTCACTTGCCACTCTGCTATAGAGACTAGAAAGCGAACAGGGACAACTTTTATGAATGAAGGTACAAATCTATTTGATCATCTCTCTTTACCAAACTCCCCCGTTGGAGAGGGATGGTGAGGGGTATCTTCCCCTGCCACCACCAGTGGTTACAACACCGACTAACCCACATGAAACTTAAACTTAACTCTTGATCGAGAATCCATAACGGCGGATTCAAATGTGCAGCGATCCCATCTGTCAAAACCATAGAAATTTTTTATCTAGATGAAAATAATTAGACCGGAATAGATTAGACACAAACCAACTCATACGTTTTGCATTCGTGTTCGTGGCTAGGATACAAATTTTTCGCGAACACGGCGTGTCAGTTTTGTGTTTTGATCATAAATTGATTGTCCTTCTTTATCATATATTTAACGAATTAATTATGTTCTCTTCCATATATTAAAAGAAGGGAATATCGTTTATCCAAAGAATTAATTATTTCCTTTTCATATATTTTCAAAGAAAGGAAAACCCCTTGATCCATTAAGAAGTTTTTCTATTCTTTTTATATACGCGAAAGAAGATTCCAGGAGTGATTTTCTGGGGAATGGTTTTCGGGGGAATGGTTTTCTGGGGAATGTTATAGAATCATTTTACACAGAAGTCGAATCGATTTGCGGTCCTGGACAAGTTCTGCATAATTTGTTTAATCTAATGTCGTTCTAGTTTTTTGCGTTGTAGCACCGGTGTAGTGTAGGCTGCAATAAGCGCGAATCATTTACAGCTCAACATCATTTGTTTGTAAACAAAAGTGCAACCGACATCTACACTCTGAATAATTTCGGTGTACGGAGGTGTATGGGCAACATTGAGCAATATGTGAATTTTTTACAAACAAATGAATATGAACTTTTGGTTTCATTTACATTTTTCCATACAAACTTTAAAGTCCTCCTGAAAATCTAGATCATAGCATAGCTGTTGGGGACAGATCGAAAAAACAGTGGGAAGCAGGGTTTTTTTTTTAAAGTTGACCCACTCTAATATCCATAGTAGAACTGTACCGAAATAGAAAGCCAAATCTCTAGGAGAAAAAATCAGTACGAGTTCGGATTATCTGGGATCATACAAATAATTAGTAACTTACTTTGATGGCATTAAGGCACTTTTAAAAAGTGTCACTTTTTCTGCTACAATTCCACGAATACGCACAAACGGATCTAGAGGAAATGATAACGGTTCGAATTTAGTGAAATTAATTTTCAATGCATCAGTGTCAGAAAGCAACATTTGGAATTTTTCGGTCTTTTTCTTGCGATTCCCTGGTTCTTTGGCCACAATTTTTATAAGTTTTACAAGACTGTCGATAAACTTTTGTTGCTCTTTCAGACTGCGGTGTATGGTTCTTAATTCAGGGGTTCCTGCAAGAAGATACGGTAAATACATAATGATCACTTGTACTACTGTGAGTTAACTAATAGCAAATTCGTTTATTATTCAGTTCCAACCTGGATCGGGTATCAAGATTGGGCCTGCTTGTTTTCTGACAAACGTCAGTTCGATCGTTTGTTTTTAAAACCCAGCTCAGGTTGAGGTACGCACTGACAAAAAGTTCGGTTTCGCACTGGGTTGGAACTGGTTCCAACCCCGATAATAAACGAATTCGCTATAATAAATACAACTGCATACCTGTTGAAAGCTGTCGAAGGTATAATTGTAGAACCGTACGATACATTTTTCGAACACGTTCATCTTGCTTCCGAACTGTTTCTTCCTCACACTCTATTGACAAGTACCAATACAGGTAATTGGCCAATGTTGAATTTTTACATGCTCGTTGAATGAGAAACATTGCAAGATTACAAGGTACTGATACATCCTCGCAGTGATTTATATTTGAATCATTCGGGATCGAAATATTGTCGGTGTTCTTTGTGGATGTTGACCCCCTCACCTCGTGGTTGGCTTCATCATAAATGGACGTTCTCCCTGAAATGTATAAATCATCGTTTTAAAATATGCACACTACAATGAAGACCGCCCGCACACGCTGATCGAAGAACATCCACGCTGCGCGTTGCGCTGCTGCTGCTGTAAACGCTCGGTGGTAGTATTTTTTTTTTTTTTTTACTTTATTAGAGAGATTTTTTTAACCGTTGAGTAGTTCATCTCTATAAAATAGGAGGCCCCAGAGGGGGGTTCTGCCTGCAAATTTTGTTACGGAGTTGGCATACAATTCACATGCACTCAAATAGAAGCAATTAAAACAGATTCCAGTAAAAAGACTAACAATACAGGCAACAAGAAAAAAAACACAATCTGGTACATCAAATTTATATAGGGTTTTGAAAGTGATCGGAGCTCCCTCGTCCTGCAGAGATGTCCTGTCAGCCTCGGTGTTAGTAGTATCAACAATCAATACGAAACTAACGATTTTAAATTGGCTCACTACTTGACTAGCCTATTGGTCCCAAGCAAACGTTTGACGTACCCCATTCTAGTCGAAATTCTACTACTACACAATGTTTGTTTTGATTCGCTATGAAAGTTTGACAGATAAAATGAGGGGTTAGTCGATTTTTCTATGTTTCGAGGGGTGAATCGATTAGCTTGGGACCGAGAAGAGAGTACCAGAGCTGAGCCAAAAACTTGAGCACGTTATTTCGGGACCTTCTAATCTTAGAGTTACCTCTATGGTAGTATAGGATTATCAGATAAGTTTATGTTCTTGTTTCTTTCTCTCAACCATCAGTTAAATTTAATTTTGTGTTTCTGTTTGCAGTGTTGTCTTTGAATTGTGTCTGTGTTGTTTCGATTATAGTTTCAGTTGTAGAGCGTTTTGCGCTCTAGCTAGTACGGTAGAATTGACATTTTGTCGGAAGACGGCATGGACTTTTGTCGGAAGACAATTCCACTTTGTCACCCGATGGCAAGAAGGGTCGCAAACGTCTGTCATCTCAGAAAGCAGATTGCTATTGCAATTTTTCAGTGTACCACATGGCAACACCACTACTACTGGATTGTTCCACATGGCAACACTACTACTAGATTGAACTAGCATTTTCACCAAATGTACTAGAATGTTTTGGTTCTATCTCTTTCACTCTACTCAAAACTGAAATGCATAAAAAAATGACAAAATGATACGCACTCTTTCCACACTGTCAAAGAATCATTGTACACAAAATCAACTTTGTTCAAATCAAAACAAAAAAACTAACCCATCTGGTGGATGATGGCACAAGCTTCCAAGAAAATTCTATTACAGTGAACCACATTATTTAAATGGATTTCTTCGCCAATTAGTCGTCTGTCACTTCGTTTGTGCTAAAACGCTCTCTTAAGGAACGTTCCAGGCAGTTTTTTGCAGAAATTTCAGATGACGAGTCTGACTCTAACTTGGCTGAGAAGGGAACTCCTTTCAATTCTTCATGGAATCGAAGACGCATCCGTTCGCGAAAAGTTGCAGAACAGGAACCCCAACTCAGCTTGCCCAAATAAAGCAGTGGTGGAAAAAAGGAAGTTTCAACTCCTCCTGGTTTCTGCAGAACTGACTATACCCAGGATTTTCCACCTCTCCCTGGGACATCAAAAATCCCTGATGGCCCATTTTTAAGAACAGAAACCCCTTCTTCATCTCGGTTGTTCTCATTTGATAACATTGTGGACGGTATCCTCAAGTACCTCGATATTTCTGATCCTCTCAAAAGCATTGTTCTGGCAATGCTTCCTACTGTGAAGACCCTCTTTAAGCAATTGACATTGAAGTAACTCCTCCTCGCAGCAATCATTTCCTTCGATGGATAATTTCCAAACGAGGTCGGGGATTTGATCACTGAATTGTCGAAGTCTTATCCCTAAATTAGAATCTTTTAAGTTTTTAGTTCACAATAATGATTTTGGTGCATTTGCTCTTTGTAAAACTTGGCTCTCTTCAGATATAGATCTTCCTTTTTATGATTTTAAATTTATTCGACAGGATCATGATGATTCGCGTGGAGGAGGGGTGCTTTTGAGGATCGAAAAGTGCCATTCCTTCTATACAGTGAATCTTCCACATTTTCCAGGTATTGAAGTCGTCATCGAAAACAACTTTCAGATATCTGTTCAGTTCTTCCTACTCCACGGTTGATTATGGGAGATTTTAATTCCCGCAGTACAGGCTGAGGGGAACTGTATGATGGACAACCGTTCTACTTTGATATATGACCTCTGTGACAACTTTAATATGACAATTCTTAACAATGGAGAAGTAAAACGTTTGGCTGGTCCATCCTCGAATGTAAGTAGATTTGACCTCACACTTTGCTCTAATTCATTATCGTTGGATTGCACGTGGAATGTAATCCAGAATTCCCACGGTAGTGATCACTTGCCAATCAAAGATTCAATTTCCAGTGGGTTCAATCTGTTGGAATCTATTAACGTCGCGTACGACCTCACCTTCGATCATGAACAATAATGAACAAAGTTCAAGACTGTGATGAAGCCCTAACGTCGGTAGAAAGGCTTCACCGTTGGAGGAATATAACTTCCTCTCCAATCTGATCTTGGACAGTGCGCTTCAAGCTCAAATTCGACCGGTTCCAGGAATAGCACTGAGATTTATCGTAAAAATTCCGACGCGTTTAAGGTTTTTCCGGAAACGTGAAACAACTGTGCATTTCGAAGCGTACGCGGCTCTTGAGCGCGAACTAAAAAGTCTCATCAAAGCCAAGAAACGCGGATACTGGCGGCAATTCGTGGACGGATTATCGCGTGAAACGTCGATGAATACGCTTTGGAACACGGCGCAAAGGTTGCGTAACCAGTCTTCTAACAACGAGAGCGAGGAGTACTCGGATCGTTGGATTCTCAAGTGTCGCGAAAAGTATGTCTTGATTCCGTGCCGGCACAGATGATTCCTCGCAAAACGACGAATTCGGTAGACGAGATCAGCCTTTTTCAATGCTGAAGCTCTCACTTGCGCTCCTTTTGTGTGGCAATTCGACTCCGAGGGTTGATATGATTAAGTTTAACTAGTTTAAGAACCTCCCAGACGTCGCTAAGAGGCGCATGTTTAACTTGTTTGGTCAGTTTCTGGAGCTCAACATTGTTCCGGGTGATTGGAGATGGGTGAGAATTATAGCCATTAAAAAGACTGGAAAACCCGCGAGAAAATGATCCTTTTTCGCTTGAACAAATGAGTTGAGATGAACCACCTACTCTCAGATACCGTGGACCCCCGTTAATTTGAACGAAACTTCGTGCAAATTAACGGGGTGCATTTTCTAGTAACCCTATGACGAGCAGAAAAGTGAGTTTCTGGTAGCCTTGTTTGCTGTTTTGATTTGAATCTGCGTTCCGTTTCACATCGTTCCATTTCGCTTTACTCTATGCCATGTGCTAAATGATGTTTGAGCAATTTTTAGTTTGCACGGCGGTCAGATTACCGGGGGTCCACGGTACTCAATTTAGTTTCCATAGGGGTAAGGGAACGAATGACTGTCTCGCGTTGCTTTCCACAGAAATTCAGTTGGCTTTGCTAAAAAAAAAACCCCCCATTTTGTGTTGTTGGATATCAAGGGGGCTTTTGATTCAGTTTCGGTTGAAGTCCTTTCAGACAAACTCCACGCTTGTGGTCTTTTCCCAGTAAGGTTCTACAAAGGGTAATTAATTTGGTGTTCTGCTTCTTTTTTAAATATCATTCAATCATCATCATTAGTATACACATACATTCATGCATTATTAATACGAAAATTTAAAACATGTATTTCATGATTTTAGATCGAAAATTTCCTGGATAAAACACATTCACTGCATTTACTTACTTGTGTTCTTCGAAGTATAGCACAATTACACGCAATCGAATACACGAAACTCGAAACGACTGCTTCACAAAACTCTTGGTGAACAAAATTTATCACAAAGAAAACCATTTCAACTTTACTGCTTTGCTAGCAATCGTGAAAGTATCATTGAAACAGCGGTGCCAGATGCATTGCTTCTAACAATGAATTTAAGTTTATTAAAACAAGTAATTGCGAAGTTTGACTCATTAACATAGATGAGTGAATGTATTTAATTGGTAATAAAAAATATCAAAAACTACCCGAAAAAAAAATTACAGTGAAATTTTTAGTGGAAACAATGCTATAACATTAATATTTATTGTCGACAATAAAAATGATTGTTATAATGTTGTACTCTTCCGAAAACGGCAAAACTGCTACCTAGATGTACAATGAATGTACATAATAAAATGTTGTTACAATGATTTTTATCGTATTTTTCATTTATTTTATTGTTAACATGATTCGATCATGAACAATAATGAACAACTCTATTACAATAAAAATTGTTGTTGCATTAAATATTGGTGTATTTTCATTGTGGGTTACTTCACGAACAATAAAAATAAATCTGATTGAAGCATGCAGTCTATGAGAGGGTTAGCAACACTGCCAATGTAATTAAGATAGGCGCTGCTCGTATGGCTCTGGCTTTGACAGTTCGTTTGTTTCAAAATCAGGCAGTCCGCGTCCGCTCATATCTTATCCTAGACCCTCTCTAAAGCTTAATGGAGACCTTTTCCGTGCAGTCAATAATCATACAATAATAATAAAAAATTCCACCACTTGAAGATGTCAGAAAGGAACTCTCAGGTGGAAGCATATTTCATGGGCGATTCTCTCCAGTCGAATGCATTAACTTATCAACGGCGCTCAACCAGCAAGGAGACGTGACCTAGGGATATCGAGGGCATGGGAGTTGGCCTATATTTCTCACAAGTTCCGGATCGAATCTCTATCCATAACCAGTAAAAAAGGACCACCCGTAACAGACATACCACCTCCTTCCCTTCCCGGTGCAATGTTTTATTTTTTCGATTTATTTTTAAAGTCGATAAAGTAGATCTGTCAAGCCAACACATACACTCTAAAGTACTCTGTTATTTTTTTTAATCAATAAATTCGCCAACCAACAGTAAAATAACAATAATATATTAT